TTAAAACCAAAGCATGTTAAAATTATCTGGAGAATTTTAGGCTGATATCTCTTCAGAGCTATGGTGATCTTTGTACTCATCCACGTATTAAGCATTAATGCATTCAGTCTAAGACTCCCGTATATGCTGTGGAGGTTTTGAGGGTAATGTCATTCCACTCTTCCTCACCTGTCCCTCTCCCTTAACTTGAAAGAGTCCTAGAAACACAATCTTCCTCCAAATACCTATGAAAACTTGTAGTCTAACCTCCCAGTGAAAGCCGGGCTATTGTCAACACTAGATGAAGGCAAATGTAGCTTTCTGTAGTTGGACCTCAAAGTCTCCAAAGATGTAGTTTCCACAACCTCTCTGGATGAGCCCTGTAAGCAGGAGGTGGGTTTTCCTTCTATTTCTTTTGTGTTCCCAGCTCACTTGATGACTTGGATCTGATGCATGAGCAAAGAGCAAGGAATGGAAGCATGAGTTAGTATTAACTTCAAAATCTTACTGGGTCTTCATGTTAAGAAAATAGTAGATAACCTTTGCTGTGGAGCTAATCAAAAGCATTTACTGCTCGAGGCAGGATGAAAACAGAATAAATAAGATTCAAATAAAATTGCACCTTATTATCTCTCTCCATCTATCCCTCAACAGTCACCCCTTTACTTGGAGCTTCAGCAGATATCCATGCCTTCTAACTTTAGATGTCAAATGTTGTTTAGTAGGAGTCTAAATTTTCTTATTTTGTTAAGAGAAAGAGATGAGTTTCTGATTATAATACTGATTCTTGTCCCTTGCAAGCTCGATTTGTTTTTTGAGGAATTTAGGCATTTAAGTTTCAAGCTTATGATAGTTGTCATCTCTGAACAACATGGACAAACCTTCAAAATCAAGTGTGTACCTTTGCGTCTTATTGGAAAAGCAACTTCATCTATTTGGCCCTGAAATGACTTGGACTTGAGTACTCTGGAAAGGATATATTAAGTCTACAGTTGTGCTAGGAGATGCATTTTCTTCTGTGTAAGCTGTGAAATTTAAAACATCACCAATGACCTCAGTTTCGATGGTAGAACTCTTTACTAAAACAGAAGCCTTTTTTTATTGTCTTGGCTGTAACTAACAAGTCATGAAACTAATAAGAGAAACAACAGAAAGCTACTGGTGACAAGTGTGAAATGAAGAGAACAGGAAGGGAGATTCTCTAATGTGCTGCAGGATATATTATAGTTAGGAAACTAGTGGAAACTCAATAAATGAGGAGCAGAGGATGAGAAATGAGAGAGAATACTTGTAAGACAATTGGCAGTGCACTGTTGGATGCTGGAGAGCAAGAAATAGAACAAATTCACATGCTAGACTGCAGGAAAAATTGCCCACTTTAATTAACTCTCTCTCAAAACAACAACAACACATTCTTCCTCCCAGCTGTCTATAGCTTGTGTGTCTACTACTTATGGGGTAGAATTCTAGTGGAATTTCTCATTGTTCATACCTGGTTTGTCCCTGGAAGTAGTCAGGTGAACTGGTTCACATGCATGTCCAGCCTGCAGGTGGGCACCTGCTCCAGTGGGAGAGCTGGACTATACAGAGTCTGTTATTTGCTAAGTGGCAATCACTGCTTACCTGGAGGACAATCTCCTTTAGAAAGTACTTAGTTACTTAAAATTTTGGAAGTGAGTTCTGACTTTCTTTTAATTGTTTTAAACTCATAAACACCTCCTCAGAAGAGCTCTGCCTGTAAGTCAAGCTGGCAAACATCAAGTAGAGGGATAAGCTGTCTGATAGTTACATATTTTTCATTTGTCACTTTCTCAGGCAACTGCCTGAAAGCTTAATGAATGCTTTGTTTTTCCACAGATAATTACGAAATGTTCAGGAGTTGGTAATTTGTTTTCTTATTTTTATTAGTGTTGAAGGTGGTCCTTTTAAAACATGTTTGCCTAGTTGTGAACTGTAGCTCTTGTTTGTCAAATCTTATGACTGTTAATGACTTCCGAATTCTGAAACCAGATTAAATATTTAAAGCCATTTCTATGAAATACCACAGTAAACTTAAGAAACATAGTATGAAGGTTAGTAAGCCACATAACAATTGGTACCTCATGTGTTAATATCATCTCTTAAATAGCAATGTTTAAATAGCAATGTTTTTAGAATGTGATCTGTACTGTGATTATAGAAATATTGAAATATTTATGTTGCTGTGTTATATACTGTTCTTGAGACAATCAAGTTTGCATTGGATTCTACAGCAGAGTACAACTAATTTATTTAAAATATTCAGTAGACCATAAGCTGAATTATTTCAAGAGTAATTTGTTATTTTGTGGAATACATCTATGTACAGATGTGAAGTAGGACAGTGATTAGTGCATCTGGAGTTACTTGAGAACTGGAGGGAAAACAGAATTTGTGCAAGTTTTGGCCATGGAAAATCCATTTCCTTATACCTGATATCAATAGCTATATTAAGTAGTTCTTGTTTTATCTGTTAATTGTGACATAAGCCTGTTGGTGCAGCAAGAGTTGAAAGCCCTTTGCTGAAAGATTAATATTTTTAGTGGCTTGTTTGATAAGCTGAAGCCCATGTTCTCTGTTTTGATAACTTACTAGTAAAAGAAATTACTTGACATTTTATTTGGAAAGCTGTTCTCAAGGTTTAATTGTTTTGGAGAGATTGGCCAAGAAAAGCTGATAACTGCATTGTACAATCTTTTCTATAAACAACAGAAAAAAAAAAAATCTCTGTTCTCAGAGAGCGGATCCTCTGTGCTCAAAATTTAGATTTTCAAATTCTTGTTAATGAAGCTCTTCAGCTTATTTGTGCTTATACTAGAACAGCATGGAAAAACTCTCCATAAAAATTGAAAGAATGGCATTTACTTGTACACTGTGCACAGTCTAAAAATGAATAACTGCTATTGCTGTGGAAAATTCCAAAGTCTTGTTAAGTTTTTGACAGTCACAACATAACTTTTTGTAAAATGCATTAAAGCATAGCTGGGAAAGCCATTAAGCCTGCATGAAGCTGGTGCAATGACACTTTGGTCTATCTAGTACCCAAACAACACTGACCAAAATGCAAATAAGGAATATGGGAACTAAACTCCCAAGCTGTCAGTCAATCAGATTGCTGGTTGGGAGTAATTCACTAGTATAACCAGACACAGGCATATAAATAAGAGATTTATACCTATGTCATCTGCACTGTACTGAACAAGATCTGGCTTGTCTCGCTCTTTAAGTATGTTATTAGTCAATACCGATGAGCTCGGCAACATGACTTTAAGTTGGAGCTTTTCTGTTTCCATCTGACCTATTCTAGTTTTATTACACTGAGCTTAATTGCGTTTAGTTTCCCCTGACTCCTCGGTAATTTTCGCTGGGACTCCATGCTCATTTAAATAATGAAAATAACAACAAAAAATGAACAAAGTGGGAGGGATTATATATATATATATATATTACCTTCAACAGTCAAAGAGCATATTCAAGCTCAAAACCTTCAGAGATCCAGCAATTGAGTTAATATTCAGTTTGCATGTTTTCTCTACAAAGCTCTGTGTAACAGACAGCATTTCTTGAATAAAATCCAATTACAGAAATGGTTTTCTTGTGAGAGCTTCAAGACTGTAGAATTAGTTCTTACACAGCTTCTGATTTTCAAATGTAGTGTAATTATTCCTAATTTTCGATGAATAAAAAGATACAGGAAATGCACAGAATACTGTGATTTTCAAGGCCAAAATGGATAAGCAAACCAACCAAACAAAACATACTTGCACTATCTGTCACGGAAGGCAGAACAATGTAGAAGAAATGTATGTTAATGGAGTTTCAGGATAGGTATAAGGATTATTCAGACACCAAAGGACTTGATAACAGACCAACATAAACAGAAGCATCTGTCTTTCTGAAGTGCTGACTGATTAAGAAAATTACTGCATTTGTTTAACTAAGCTTTATTCTAACACTGGGTTAGTGGAGAGGATTAGAGGCTTTGTGTCTTTTTGAGTGAAAATTTTTAATTTCATCTTTCTTAAGAAAGGCGCTTAAACAAACGTTTTCATTTACACGTTGCACTTGAATATGATTGGAAGGACTGGAAGATGAAATGTGTAAGTAGCTGTATCTACTGGGGAGAAATGATGGTGTAAGAACTGCTGGAAGGCTACTTTGCCACCTGCCAACCCACCTGCGCAGAGAAGGTGCTCTGAGCACCTAATTCACTGGGTTTTAGTGTCACTTGGCATTAAAGGAGCAGCCTCTGCATTGTGCCGACCAATTTCACTCTGAAGACGAACTCCTGTTCTGCTGCTTCCACTATGTTTGGGAGCAAATCAAATACAGGTGCTTGGCAACTCTCCTGAAAGAGAATGAAGTCACCAGATCCTTGTAAGCTTCACATTGCCACAAAAAAAAAAAAAAAAAAAAAAAAAAAATTTTAGTTTTTCAACTTTTTAGAAGCAAATGTAACACTGGAAGTTTTGAGAGATTATGACAACTGCAATTTTGTATGGACCGTTTTGGGTCTGAACTGAGCAACTGATCAAAGTTCTGAGAGTAAAAGATACAGTCTATGCCTAAAATCTAATTGCTGGGACTGTATTGTACACCAGTTTACAAAAGTTACATGTCACGTGCTACTTCATGGTCGTGAACCCAGCAGTTTACCAGTGCAGTTTACTTTGGAACACTTATTTTTGGGGAAATAGGTGGTTTGTTCACACACACTGCAGCACAGCATGCAGAAGAGAATTCCCCAGCTGCTGCTGACAGAGAGCAAACAGAAGAGGGGGTCCTGCAGAGAAATTGCTACCAGTGCTTCCAAAATCAAATACCTAGGGAAAACTCTTTGAGTCCTCTGACTAATATCGTTTCATGTGTTTCTCATAATTATGAGACAAGTGTAGTGGAAATGCTAAATCATGGCCTGGAGAAGTGATGGAGCACCTGGTGGGAAGGCAGGGCCAACCCATGGGAACTCAGGTGCAAGCAATGCAGTTGAGTGAGTAGAAGGACTGGAGCCAGGATCCACCCCTTACAGACCTCATTTAAGGGTTGGCAGGGTGGGTGAGGGTTTTTTGCTGGAGATCCGTGCCTACTTGAGGCCTTCCAAAAGTAAGCAGTTTTTTTCATTGATTTCTTTATCTGTTGCTTTTGGTCTTGTTCTCATTTGCTGCAGCCAAAGACTTTGCTACCTTGCTATTATCATCCCATTATAGCATTACAACAAGGTAGCAGGTTCTTTGTGACCATGTCTTCATCTATACAACAGCTGTGTCTGAATAGTTGCAGAACAGTGCAGAGCGGCATGTCAGTGGTGGAGTGCTGGAGCACTGGATTATAGCTAGAGGCTTGTGTTTCAGGAGTGTCATCAAGATCGATTTTGCTTCTTTTCTGCTTGCACCTGAATGTTTCCCACAAAGCGGTACTGTTCCTAAAGTGAGAAAGCTTTGTCTTCGAAGACTGGATTGAGCAAATTCACTTGTCTTGAGAAATACCTTCACCTACATTTTACAGAGTTTTCAGATGGTGGCTTTCTTCTTCTTTATGATTTTTAAGTGAATAGATATTCATAGAGAAACAGTTTAAATTCCAACAAGTGCATCCCAAGAATAGAATATTCTTTTGTTCTTTTGGGGTTTTACTTGCAAGCAGATAAATTAGAATCCAATGGCAACTAAGCCTGAGGGGATCATTCTTAGGCCAGTGTTTAAGAGAAGCAGAATGTTGCTTTGTTCTGGAAGGCCGTTAGAGTTCTTAGCATTTCCTCTCGTTCATTGCTCTCCTTTTATAATTGCTATTTTGATTTGACAACGGTATTTTCTGTGGATCAGTTTAACAGGCAAGAAGATCCAGCTCATTACTGTCACCTCCTTAGCTGTTTAATGAACCAGTCCTTTCTTCCCGTAAATATAATGGATTATTCTGCAACAAAGTGAAGCACATCCACAAAGAGCGGTAGATAGAACAATTACTGATAATTTCATCAAAGAAACTTTTCAGCTCACTTTGTCAGCCTAGTGACTAAAATTAGATACATTCGTTAGTTGATTTTAGAGATGTATTACTCATTAAGCTTTTATGTGTGTGCCTTAATAGGTATCAGATTCCCTAAAGAAAAACACACATTTCAGGACAAGGCTTATTCTAGGGCGAGGAGCAATTCTCAACCTTACTGGTCCTGAAGGAGTTCCAGAGAACAAGAAATTTCTTGGTTTCAACCAAATGTTCAGTTCCTTTAAGGGACCTGGAGTTTATTGAAATCAGGAAGGAGCTATTTTTTTCTTTCTGGACAACCCACATGAGGTAAGAATCATTTTTTGCCTAACTTCATGAGCTGGGTAAAATATCAGAGGTTCTGGATCCCGCATATAGAGCACAGCAGAGGACTTCTTTTCTCGCTTGTCCTGGCTTTTTAAAATAATTATTTATTTATATGGTTGATTGAGGCTAGAATGTACTGTTGCCTTAACTTTTCATTGCCTAAAATTCTGTTTTCCGTTTGGGCAAAAAGTTTACAGTTTGGATCGTAGATGGAAAGCTGTTATTACACCTCGAAGTGAAATTCAGTGAAGCACACCATTAGAAACAGTCTCAGGGATGACTTAAAAGAAAGAAGTGAGGGTCAAATTCTGTCAACAGTAACTGCTGCAAATGCATCAGTGAATGTTACATATATATTTTTTAAAGAGACTTACTTTGAAAAAGTGAAGGTGGGAGGGGAATGACTTCTGTATTTTTCGTACTACATTTCTGACATCTCTCTTTACGAATATGGGGTATACCATGTATATAACTGTATATAGTTAAGTGTTAGTGAGTTCATGTACGCATTTGGTACATGCACACTTTATTTATCCTGCTGTTTCTGGATGGCAGGATTCGTCTGAAAGTTTGAGTGTGAGCATGAACGTTCTCAGAGCAGCCTTCTCTGAAGTACTTTCCACATTTCCAGTTCCAGCAATCATTTCATTTTTATGTAAATTAATTTTAAATAATTTTCTGTTTTTTAAAGTAGCAATAGGTTTTATAGGCCTGATTTCCTGGGAAGTTGACCCCCGGCTTTGTACTTTTTGCTGTCTGGAACTCTGAAACCGTAAGAGTGTCTGCTGCCCAAGCTATATGGCACTGAGTGTTGTCTTAGTTGTTGTAAAAACAGAGTAGAATACAAATTCCCAGTTAACAACTAAGAAATATGTAAGAAAAAAATCTTCGTATTGGTTCTTCCATAGCTTTACAGCATTTGGAAAAAAAGTAGTCTACCCACTTAGCTGGCTATCTTGATTTATAGTAATATTGATGATTGTTCCACACTGTGTTCTACCTGTGGTTAGAAGCTCTTGCTCTGTTTCAATTATAATTTAATAACCGGTTTGGTCGGCAATGGACTAAGAACTACTGTTTTCTGATAGTACATTGTTGTCTGTGGGGCACTGTGGTGGTTCTACATTTGCATACTGTGGCCCAGCTTAAGTGAATGCAGGATTTAGCTAATTATTCCAAGGGTAAAAATCTAATTTTACTTTATCCAGTGTACCGTAATTTAGAATTGACTACATGGGAGTTGGGTCTGTATGATTATAGAATAAACTGAAGCAAGAACACTTAGTACGTCTATATATGTGTGTGTATGCATTTAATATGTTACATGTATGCATGTGTATATATATATAGTTCATGTACCTGTATTAAAAAAGGTATTATACTATTATCATGGCGATCCTAAATCTTGTATGTCTTCCACTTTTAATATCGTCCTCAAAATTGACCTTCCACCTTTACTACCCACTGATTGGTTGGATCTTTACTTGCAGAAGTCTTGCATCCTTTCTGGAACTCTTAAATATCTCCACTTGAAGTTACACCGAACACTGCACAGGGTATACTGTTATGAAGATTGGTTGGAGAGCAGAACTGTGGGGTGTTCTCTCATGCTAGCAAACTTCTAATGACTATCCATAGTTACAAAGATGATCTTCTTTTATGTCTCCTCATTTTCTTTATGTGTGCCATTACTGCTATCTTCCTATCTCAGCCTTTTACCACCTTTTGAAAAGGCCTCTTTAATTTTTCTGTTCTTTTTCCTTAATCTTATGTGTCATTCTGTACCTGAGCACTTCTGGCAATTCCTGTGCAAGCTTTCCCTGTCTGCAGAGTGTCTGTTTTGGCTCATCCTACTTCCACAGTGCAGCTGGGCATGCTAGATTGAATTTCTTTGCTTCATACTTGCCAGCTGCCAGACTTTAATCTCTTTCTAAAACTAAGAATTATCAAACTCAACTTTTTCTCTCATTACCGTAACAGAGGCCCATATGGCAGATTTACATAGGAAGACAAAACAAAGCAATTCTGCAATTATCCCCAAAGCAAAGGCTTCTATGTTGAATCAGCCGGTCCCGCTGCACAGATTTGGTGAAGCAGCCTCATGTGTTTTTCTGACAAAGTGGTTGACTAAGCTGGGCACTGACTGAGAGAGCTCAATTTTAATCTGATTTTCACCACTGACTGTCATTGTGTCCTAGGGACAGTTTTCTTTCAGCTTGGGCTTCAGAGCCTGCAGAATGAAGACTGTCTTTCCAAGTCTTGCTGGCTTTTGTGTAGCTGTACTGCTGCAATAGGCTCTAAATCATAGGCATTACTGCATCTGAAACTTGAATCTGTCACTGGCATCATATTCATAATCTAGAAACGCTTTCTTTATTTTTGCTTCCACATATTAGAGGACCTCAGAAATGTTTTCAGTTAAGCTTCTTAATTCTCATGGACTCATTTTTACAGCGAAATGCTAAGGGGCAAGAAAGCCTTCAAACTGCAGTTACTATGACTTGATCCTGTCCTTTAGAAGGGCATCATATTCTTGGTTTGAGGTAAGATTGCAGGAAGCCAGCAGGTTCTTCTGAGTCTGAATAATGAGAGCTGACAGACACTGTTAGAAATGGATATGTTGTTACTCTAGGCTGAGTTGAGGTAGCAAAGGTGACATGAGTATAGAGTTGTTGAATTCCAATTCAGATTTTAGGGAAGTATGTTAATTATAGAACCGTATGACTCTGTCACTTCTGCTTCTTTAACTGTACTCACATCTTGTTCCAAGGATGGCCTCTGTGCCAGCGGGAGGCCATAAGACATAACTGATTCAACGCTTAGTATTACCTTAATGCTCAAAAGAGTGCTTCTGACCAACTGCTCTAGATAGATTATTCAATACTTTGGTGTGATTGGTTAGCATAAGGAGTATGATTTTCCCAACGGTATGTTTTGGTGTCACTGTGAATCAGAGCTTGACAAGAATCATACAGATGTTGCTAATGGAAGAGCTAGTAGAAAAAGATGTCATAGTGCAGTTTGTATTATATCATTTATATCAAACATTTGTGAACAGATAAGCAAAAAATTGAGTGAACTGAAAGTGAAATACAGCAACAGATTGTCACTTCTCTTCAAATACTTTGTTTTCCTTCTTACTTTATTATGTCAGATGTCTTTTTGCTATTTCATCATTGAATTATATGCAAGTATTTCCCTTTCCTAGCCAGGAGTACAGGCCATTGATCCTTCAGCAAGGTTGTTTCCTAGTCTTTCAAGTCTAATTGAGGATTTGTTACTTCTGTTGATAATACACAGCCCATTATAAGCAAGGTACTGACCGTTGTGACTCTGGAGGGTGAGGGGCTCAACGAGGCTGCTGCTTCCCTTTGTGCTTCTCCTTTGTATTTTCGCCTTGGAAGCCACACTGCAGGTCTTCTCAAGTGCTTAGCTGCTCATTTAAGGTAAATAATGGGAAACAGAGTAACTGTAAATGACTGGGTAGGACTGGTGTTGAAATTGTGAGGTTATTTATATGGCTGTTATCCATCTCAGCGAGCTTCCATTGCTTCAGCAGTCAGTTGGATCCCCAAATGACTTGAATGGGGGTATGTGTTACATTAGTGGCAGAGTAGCTGTGTACCTGCTGTGAAATCATTTCCAGCCCTTGTTTCCCTCTGTCAGGCCACCCCATGGTTGCTCTAGCAGTTTTGCAATGGATGGTGACCTGTGCCAGAGCTGCTGAAGTTATGCCATGCTACATCAAAGTTAGAAACAACAGCTTGAGAACGGATACCTTGTCCTGTAAGATTAGTGTTATTAACAAAAGCGTAGGGAGGAAAGAGAGAGTATCAGGGGCTGTGAAGCTTCTATCTCTGTTGAGTTGTTCAAGAGATAACAACGAAGGGCTGGCCAGAATATCCCAATGTGCTGTGACATTTCAGGGAAAGCAGGCTGCAGCTGCAGAACACACAAGATGCTGGCAGACAGAGCTCTGGAACTATAGTGGGCTTTGTATGAACTTCTCAGCTGTGTTCAGATTACATGCTTGTTCAGCCTGAGGCACTGCCTCTGTGCTTTGTTCCTGAGCAGCAGTGCAGTTTTGCAGATCACTCCCTGCTTGTCTTCAAGTTCCCTCCTACTAGTTTGGTTCAAAGAGATTTTGGTACATGTTTACTTTCATTTGGAGAAACAAGCATAAGAGGCTACTACCCAGGTGTGGACCACATACTTTCATGTTGTCACTGGGCCAAATTGTCCTGAATCAGTGAGTGTAATAAGGGAATAGCATCAGTATGGTATGGTTCATTGGTAGGATGCTCTGGGGCTGTCAACAGTTCCTACAATGTCCTGTTCAGCTGCTTGTGCTAAATTCAGAATGAAACTTCATGTTTGCTGTTGACAGCAAGTTCTCAGTTGATTCTACTATTCTGCTTCTTTTTCCTCACCTGCTCTGATTTAGTGTACTTTGTCTCTTTAATTCTGAGACAGTAATTTATTGATTTTTTTTTTTTTCCTTGCTGAAGGGAAAAAAAAGAGAAAGCAGATTATGAAGGATTTTTAGAAATTTTCATATACTTTAACTGATTTTGATGCTCGTGGGGTCTTTTTGGTTGTGCTCTTAAGGGTAAAATTAAAAAATACCGTGTATTAACAGTGTCACACTGCTTCACCTCAGTGCAGATTGACCTTCAGTTTACGTGAAGCAGCAGGCACTGTGTCCTTGCTTGCAAGCCACACGAGTTTTATATGAACTGTGCTGTGAGCTCACTAGCTAATAGAAATAGGTATATAAAAATAGACAGAGAAGTCAGAAAGGAGAAGAACCTTCAGATTAGCAGTGCTATTTGACATTGTGTATCCTTCCTCCCCAAATTGTCCTTGATCTGCACTCACATAGTGGGATGTATAATCTCTATTTCTAGTCTCTAGTCATATGGTCCTTTTTCAGGAGTCCTTGGTGTATATCCATATCCTTGTATCTCTTATTCTATGGAATGCTGGGTAGAATTCTCTACCGTAGGACCTCAGGAGGGACACACAACCTGGTGGTGCATGGGGAACAGCAGCCCCATGTGGATCATTTCCAAGTTCATTGCAGGGCTGTTGTCTCTCCCCCAGCAGTCTTGGAACACTTACCAGCTGCAGCCCACAGAGGCCATCCATGTCACTGCTCTGTCTTTTCAGCAAGGTCTGAAATTGCTTGTTACTTGCTTTAGAGACTGCATATGGGGAACATGAAAGCTGAAGAAGGAATTACACAGCAAATTTTAGGCATCTAGGGAATTAAGCAAGGTACAGTTTGGGAAGGCTTTGCAACTTGTGACTCAGCCTATTCTGTCAAAGAAAATTGCATGTGGCTCTTGACTACTGTTGGTAGTGTGTTTTGGGAGAGGTCATCTCCAAACCATGCATACTTTGAGACAAAGGGATCGTGATGATGAATTAGCGTAGGAGCAGATGTGCAGGAGATAGATAATACTCATACACAGAGCATGCCCCTGAGTAACTGCTTGTGCTTAGCAATGTTTATTGCCAGGATTACACTTACCATCTGCTTTGGCTACGTTGTGACCAGAGTATGTAGGAAGAAGTCTCCCTAGCTCCCAAGTGTTGTAACACTTTCTAGTAAGGAATTTGACATGGGAATATTGCAACGGTAGCACAGGTAGGGTTCAGATCAGTGCCTGAAATTACTTCTGTTGCGTATAACCCTTCATGAATCCATTTAAGTGGTTGGACTTGTGGGATAGATGTGTTTGCTGACTTTATGACTAACAGCCAGTGTTCAGGCAGTGATAAACCTTGAACTGGTTGCTCCTTCACCATTCAAAAACCTTCTGGCAGATAACAAAATGGCATCAGATGCCAAACAAGAACAGACATCTGTCTGATAAGCTGAGGGATCCCAATGCACGTGCAAGATCTAATTGCAGTTTGCATCTTTCTCTAGGAGGGTGCAGAAATCTGCCTACTGCTCCTGAATATTAAACACAACAAGACAAAAAGACTTTTCATGCGCATGTGTTCTGCTAAAGGCTTTTCCTCCTTTCCCAAGTAAACTTTCATGCAGTGCATTAAGGGCATCTGGAGATGAGTGGGAGTATCTATTGTTAGGAGAGAAACATCATGTTAACCCAAACTACTGTACTTTGAGTGTAATACCGGCCTAGATTTCTTAATTGACTTGTATGTCATCAAGATCATGGAGAAGTTGCCTCTGATGCAATGAAAAAGAGGGATGAAATAATCCTCCACACCAAAACAAAACAGAAAAAGCCATGAAAAATCAGGACTGTAGCACTAAGGAGTCTGTGAAATCAAATGAAGATATGGAGCTTCCCACTGTTGTGCCTAGAATGAAAACTTCAGCAGAAGCTAAGTTATCTTCTACAGAGCTGGTCAGGGATCTTCCATGAGGCAATACTTAACTAAAATACTGCTTGAGCTTATAGCATAGAAGGGCTATCATGCTCTTAATAGAACAATCTTTCCTTACTATTCTGTGATAAGAAACCTCTGCTTAATGTGTATGTTTTGAGAAGAGTTAGTGATGTCTTCAGATTAAAAAAATAAATATTTTGCCTTTATATTAAAGAAAGATGAACTACAGCTCTTCAGGTAAATTGAATTTGGAAGCATGTACCTGAGTATAGAAGATAACATAGTAGAACAGACAGTATGCTAACAGATATAGAAGTGAAAGTAAAATAAATATAGAAGAAGATGTATGGAAGAGTGTGAAATATTTTTATGCAAGTTTTTCATATTTCTAGGGAAAAAAAATTATGTCTTGGTTGCGAGATTCATGTCCTTGAACCTGGAAAATTTTTCTGCTTTTATGTATTTTGTGGTAACTGCTATTTTAAGTGCTGTGTTATAATGTGTAAATAAACATGGAGCTATAAATGCCACATGCATATCTGTTTATTGGCTCATCATCTGATTTGAAATAGAAACTATCTTGTGAGCTTTTTGGTTGGATGATTGGTTGATTTTTTTGGTTCATTCTCAATAAGAAAAACTCATACCTGGTTTCAAAACAGGTGTTGTTTGTAATTGCTTACACACAACTGTTTCACTTTTGAATAAATTTAATTGTTATTTACAGATCATGCCTTAACTTTCTGACAAGTCTCCAGGCCTTGCTTTAGGGCTTCTGGGAAATCAGTTTGTGCCCCTTTGCTCTGTTTTGGCTTGTTCTATAATTTTTATGCCTTTTGAGTAGCTTGGAGCTTTTCTTTTTTTTTCTGTCTTGTTCCATCTTGGAGTGCCAGCTTATAACTTACCTTTTGGGAGAAGCCACCCTTTGTCCAATGCCGATCAAATGGTAGTACATCTTAAGACCTTGGCAGGACAGCAAGTAGCTGGGAGCTCAGCCAAAGCACTGTCTAAATCAAGCTATCAAGTAGCTAAAAACTGTGCCTTTGCAACAGCCTTTTCAGAGAAATTACCAACAATGATCAGTGATGAATCTTTCTTTCTAGATGGACAGTGTAGACCTCTCATAAGACTGTCCACTGACTCCTGATGTGGTAATATTTACTCTGCAATACAGTTAAGGCATCAGCTGAAGAACTTGGCCTATTTCAAAAGCTGAAATGATCTGTTTCACCTGTTCATTCAGAAGAGAGGCTATAACAGTCTCATTGAAGGATCTAGTGTGAGATGGTATTACACTCCCCTAGCTTGTGGAACTATGATTGCTCAAGGCCACTGGAGTTGTTCTTAAGCTGTTTTTTTTTTTAATTAGATCAAAGCAAATCTAAAAGCAAATCTATTTCTGCTATGCTGAAATTTCCCAAAGTAAGTCTCAGAACGCAACAGCCAGGATGGCCCCCTGCCTTGCGCTGCTTAGACTGCGCTGTGCCTGCTGTCAGGCTTTGGCTTCTACACGCTGCTCTGCATGCTGTTTTCCAGTGATATTTTGCTGGATTTGACCTGGCTTCTCCCTTCTCTCCCCCCCCCCTTTTTTTTTTTTCTCATCCTCTTTCATCATAGTCTTTCAAGGACATCTGACCTTTCACTTGGCTCAGCCACTCTGGTTTTACGTATTAATTGCCCTACTTGGAAGCCTCAAACTGAAACTGGCACACTGTCTGCCTTTAAAGAGGAAGGTGTGATATTTCCACAGGTTTCTTCTAAGTTTAATTTTTCTTCTCTCTGTCAGGTATGATTTATTGACTGGTCAAGAGGCTATTTTAAGCACACAGAGTACAAATAATTTATGTTAATACTAGAGGTTATTTTCACTGCTGTTGAGGTCACAGACACAACCAGAAGAAAAAGCAGAGTATGGTTACAACTAGGGCTTTTGTGTGTTTGGTTCAGAGTATGGGATATAATGACTCAAAGGAGATGAACAAAGGGTTAGATGCAAAACCAAGATTTCCCAGACAGCAGAATATAGATGTGCAATTAGGCTATGTACCAATCAAGTTGTTTCCTACGCCTTGCAAAACGTCATACTCATTAGAACAAATACACAGAATTAAGAACAATACTAAGGAGGCCTGTGCTTTATGTGCTGTCTTCACATCTGCAGTGCACAAGCTTTCTACAGGGAAAATAATCTGTGAACTGAAGGAAAAAAAATACATACAATTGCCTGTACACAGATTTATTAATTAAATGGGAAAAGACACCATGTCTGTCTTTAAATAGAAATTGAACATAATTTATGTGACCTCAAAAGCAAGGAGGCTTGCTGAGAGGAAGTGCCCTGAAATGGAATTCAACTCAGAAGAAAATACTTTGAGCTGGAGAGTTGTCAGCGTGATCTACAAGGGCTGCTCTGAAAGTAATACTTTTTATTATCTTACGTAGACCCGCAACATAGGAGGTAGATGTTAGTGGTATTGCAGTAGAAGTTAAATCTTCCTGACAATATTCCCTTATGTTTTGTTACTGTATGACAGAGGGGCAGTCTAACAGAATCATGTCTGACGTGGAAGTGCATATGGAGCAAAGGTGTGGAATTGAGTTTGTCCATGCAGAAAAAGTGACCGATTGGCAGTCATCAATGTTTGCTGAACATTTATGGAAAAGTAGATTTGATCACAGTGAGGCAGTGGGTGGTGCATTTCAGCAGTGATGGATGGCGGTGGGTCACCTCTGCTGGTGCAGGTTTTGGAGAGCGTGGCATGCAGGCTCGTGTTTATTGCTGGTAAAAATGCATTGTCACTGATGGTGACTATGTTGAAAACAGTGTTTTGTAGCTGAGAATTTGTTCTAGCGAGTAATGTTATTGTACTCTTTGTACCTGTTGTAGTTTCTATGGAAATAAATAGGAGGCATTACTTTGTGAGCAACCAGTGTAGATGAAAGGGGATGGTCTTACCAGGCTTCTGCAAGGTGTGTGTGTGTATAGGGGACAGAATACACATGCCTTCCAACATTCAGAAACATGCTGAAATGGAAGACTACAGGGAAGCTGCTCTCTTTGGTTACTATCTTTTCAGTCTTCTTTCTTTTCTTTTTTTTCTTTTTTAAATATGTGATGTGAAGAGAATGTAAGATGGGTTATATCTGTTACTTGGGGACAGCTCATCAAAATCATTAAGACTGTCTTGCTGTCTTTCACTTTTCAATTCATGATCAGCCAGGCAGTCAAAACAAGACTTTGAGACTTCCCTGAGGTGGTGCATGTCAGTGGCAAAAGTTCAAAGGTGTTGGAGAAATCCATTAAGCAAACAGTGGTTTTATGGTCTCCTGAAACATACTGAGGAGTTAATATTAAAATTATTATCAGAGTTTAATTGTATATCAATTTCATACATAAGAAGCAACCGTGAATTCGTAATCATTTATGCCTTTATTTACTTAGATGACATTGTCCAGGATGACAAATGGAGAGATGACAAAATAGTGGGTAAGGGAGGATTCTCAGCTATAAAACTGTAAAGCTGTGGTGATGTCCCTGTTTCAAAATGTCATCAATACTATAGTCCTTTGCAGCAGATGCAAACAAATTAGCCTTTACTAGGCCTTGTACTTGGAAAAAAAAAAAAAAAGTTATTACTTTGGATTCTAACTTTCCCCAGATTTTTTTTTTTTTTTTTTTTAATTTACAGACAATCAGAATTTAAAAACAAAACCCAAAACACCCTTATTTGAAAACCAGTAATTCAAAAAATAGCTTTTTAGTGAAACTGAAGGCCAAACTTGCAGGATGGCCTCTGGCCTCTTCTTGGTTCAAGTTTTCATTCATTGCAGCAGATTTTAGCAGTTATTTTCTTCCAGATGCTTCATTACTTCAATAGCTCAAGTTGAAATTCTTTAATGTGCTATTAATTTAACATTTAATTATATTTAAAATGTTTCTGAAATAAAATAATATTTTAAAACCAGTTCTTCCATTAGCTAAAATACTTTGCCAATTTATTTCAGCTCAAGCTTTGGAAGTGAACTGTTTAAAGATGTTGTTTTGCTGCTTCTGATCTGGTGCTTTCAATAACAGGAACAAGATGAAAATTTTTCCATTCCTTTACAAATGAAGTCAGATAACGAGTTTTAGTCATAGCTACTTGGAGATTAAAGACTTGCTGTCTTCCTTCTCAGTACTGAGTGAATCAGTTTGCTGCCAGACTTGTTTTTCTTTTCCATTCCTAGGCGTTAATTGCTGCTGTATTTAAATGTGTGTGGTGCCTGCACTTCCCATAGAGCATGTTCCCTTGCTCTCTAGTTTACATGTTATGCTTTAAATAGACGTTATGTTTCTGTGAGTTTACACTGCTTTTGTTTGTGTCAGCATATTCTTCCACCGTACCACAATGAAAATTAGGCTCTTAAGTCTGATACAAAATGAGAAGTTAATATATTCCTCTGGATGTTTTTCAAATTTGAGATGACAAATCCTCCTCTCCTTGATTCTCAATTAACTTCCTTTCAGCCTTTTATTAGATTTGTCTTCCTGCTTTTAAACGAGCTGTTAGATTTGGAGTTAAATGGATTCACTTTGGTGATGTGTTCTGTCAAATGCTGTGTCTTGATGTCATTGCTGCTCTTGTGCCAAGTGGCAGCTTTCTCGTACGTCAGGTTTGTGAGGGAAATTACAGCAGAGCAGAACACATTTTGGTGGTGAGAGCTGGGAAATGCTTCTCTCAGTGCAACCCTCTGTGCCTTTATGACACAGTGTTCTCCTTGGCCTCAAGAAATTAATACTGGATTTGGATTCAGACTATACGGATTTCTGAAGTTTCCATATTAGAGATGACTTAGCTGAGTCAAATGAAACAAGTTGGATTATTGTTTTGGTTGGCTTGGACTTTGAGTTGCACATATTGTTTTTAGTTTCTTCAGGGGATTTCTTGTTTCTGTTTTTTTTTTTTGCTTTTTTTTTTTTGCTTTTTTTTTTTTTTTTTTTTTTTCTTTTTGTTGTTTTTTTTTTTGTTTGTTTTTTGTTTTTTGTTTTTTTTAGCAGTATGCTGTTCACTCAGCCCAGCCCTAAGTGGGCCTGTGTGCTCCAGAGCAGATGTGCACCTGGAGGCATTTGGCCTTCCTGGCAGCTTCTACTCTTTTTCATTGTTGGGTTAGTGTTTTTCCTCTTGGCACTGTCACACCAAACAAATGTGCAGATTTAATACAGAAAGCCTGTGCATTTAGCTCTCCTTCCTCAGTTGTCAGTAGGCAAGCAGGAATGAGAAGACAAACTGCAGCAGAACTTAATGTTCTGCTTCCCCTTCAGTTCTTGTATCCTGCTTAGAATGACTCTTATGGGTTGCGGTAAATGAATGTTGATCTAATAATAAATTTAGGAAGCCACAAATCTTAGGAATTAGGTTCATATGACTAATTCAGGGTTTAGTTCTCTCACGCTGATTCTGGTCAATCATAATCTCTTATCTACCCAGGCTTTTTCCCAACTGATTCTGTGATTTAAAATAATCTCATGGTAA